CGGTGTGTGGTCCACCTCTGACATCGAAAGAGGAAGTGCTCCACGGTCTCTCTGGCTTGTCCACATGCGCCCAAAAGACATTAAGTAGCTTCGACAGGTCTACTTGCATAGACCACTACCCCAGTTTTTCACCCGATAAATGAGGTTTCTGGACTCTTGAGGTGGACAAAGCCTCTCACCCTGGGTGTCTCTCAGTTTGCTCCTTAAGCATACATCACGGGCAAATCAACTAGGACGACACCGCTTCAATCAGACTAACCTGATCTCAGGCCCTCAGTGCGAGTGAGGTAGTTGATTCCCGGCTGTTTGTACACCGACACGCGCATCCGTCCTCTCGGGCTATACAGACAGTCTCTTGACAGGCCCCGATCCTGCCGCAGTGGCTGCCATTGTACACCACGCCCCGCGAGAGCTTTCACTCTCGTTTCGCGTTACCTGAGGAGGTCTCCCTCCGCCAGGCCGACCGTGTCTTGCAGAAAGTCCTCTATACGCTCCATCCGGCAGTATATGTCGGTTGCTCTCCACTAACCAAGCTTGGTCCCCGATGTCTGAACAGGATCGACGAGTTGCCCGTGGCAAAGCCTTAACGAGTCCCGCCGACTGCCACCAGCCAAATACCAATATTTTTCAGATTGCCCGTGTGTCTCCCAAGAGGATGCCCGTGTCTCGGCGGTGCCCGTGCCCCGAAGAGCAGTCGCCCTGAAGCTTGCCCGTGGCTGAGCCTTAACGAGGTCTCTAGCGAGCGATGTCTTCGAGCCTTAACGAGTTCGAGTCTTAACGAGGCCTCTGGGCCTTGAACGAGGTCTGTCCGATATCAGCTTGACTGCCTGTGTCACCGGTTCACTACCACCTCGCCGCATCTCGCACGATGCGATCCCAGACCGTATGCAAGCTCAGGGGTGTCCTGTCTTCTCCTTAGGCGGCACCACTTCCACTGGTAATGCAAGACCAGTATCGGGCCCGAGTGCGAGTCGGGTAAGAAGAAGTCGGATGGTCAGCAGGATACAGTCGTTCTCGAAATCGGCTTGACAGATACACTCTTCGTCACTCTTTTCTGGCCCCACTGCCAAGGCCTTAGCGCAGATCAATCATTGAGCGGGCCGCATCAAATTGATGGACGCGGAAAAAGGCACCTCGTATGATACTGTATCCTGGTATGTATATTACACGATGCTTACAAGAATAAAATGGAATTCCGTGGAGATATAATGCGGGGCTAAAGTGGTAGGTTGCCTAGCAATGGTTGCCGGACTTTTTGCTAGGCAACTTCAGATTTCCATCTCAACCTGTACAGCATGGATTGATTCCCTGCGCCAGCCATCATCATTGAGAGGCGTCTCTTTGGTTAGGGGTCATCAACGACTTACGTCTGCAACACAGTATCTCGACTACGTTTCTGTCGTTTGCTTGCGAACAATAGCCTTCCGGCAGCCGACGGCGTAGGCATCAACTAATAGTCACTCACCAGAAGTCTGTCTTTACAGTGAACCCAGAAACATGAGACGCAGTTCTCCCATTAGCCATGATGATCATGATGTTCAACAAAGTGAAACGTTGGAGACCTGGGACGATACATCACAATATGCACCAACACCTGGTTACCTCCGACGTTCACCTACCTACTCGTCCGACATAAGCTGTGCCAACTTCGACTCCACATTTCCTATCGCTCCCAATTCTCTGCAAGAGCATACTGCCGAATGCGATAGACTTCCGTTGCTCCAATTCGGCGATTGGGAGGAAGGTCGGACGTATGATGAGGATCCACCGGTCTGCATTCACTATTTAATTGAGTGGAAGATTACACTTAATAACAGGACTGTGGTAAAAGACACTGAACAAGACCTTGTCCTAGCCCCTCGTTTTTACTGGAGGCTCTTTCTACAGCCAAAGCTGAAGGAGCTGCTTATTCGAAAGTATCCACGTCGAGAACTGGAATTGGATGACACCTCTGTTGTCGTTTCAGCTACGCGGCAGAAGGGCATTACTCGAAGATTTGATAGGACCGATATCGAGTGGTCCTCTATAGAGAAACAGCTCCATGATTGGGGAAATCTCTTTCTTGCTGGCAAGAAGCTGAGACTGAGTATTTCGTTCAACTATACCGAGAACACACAGGGATCCACCACAGGCCGTAGGGCGACTGATAAACGAGGTGCTTCTTCTGCTACTCAGCGCATGCTTCTAGAGCGAGACCAACAGATTTGTGCCGAGGAAGAAGCGTCTGGAGAGCCTCCCACCTGGAAAATGGTATATGCTCTGATGCGCTGTCCTGGGTCTTGTGACTTAGGTCCGCATTGTTGGCAGGATCCTTATGGGAAGAAGCACTACAAGCTGTACCGCGATCAGCTGGAGAGCCTGGTGAAATACGTGCAGAGTGGCGGGCTTTTACAATCACACGAAGATGTTCCTGGTATGATCCGCGAGCAGATATATAGAGCGGAGAGGCAACGGCTTGATAGGCCAAGGCCTCATAGCCGTCCTATCGCCGAGTCAAGCTGCCCTCCCATTACTATCACGAATGTGCTTCCGGCGCAAGCTCCGCAGGCAGCCGAGTCAACCGCACTCGCATTTTCAGAGAATAAGACTGCTGCTCCTGTGAATATCCCTGACCTCTATATATCAGGTCTTCTCGACGTTGCTGTGAGAGAATACAGTAGCTGGCAGCAGTCCCGTTTCGGTGATGAGGAACTGAAAGCCGAGATACAAAAGGCGTGCGATGTCGCCCTGGACGATGGGTTAGATCTGGCCCAGATTGATGAGGACAAAGACTCCGATTACTTCACGAAGCGCGGTGTCAAGTGGGGTATTGCTCGACGTTTTGTGAAGGACATTAGGTTTTGGGTTGAAAACTACAATGGTGTGACTATGACGGGGAATCTCACTTACGAGTAACTGTTTATAATGGTCTGTAATCATAGGCGTCTATGTAAATTGATATGTATGTTCTATTTGATTAGGTACAAGGGTTAGAGTTTTTCAATCATCAGACCGGCATTTCGGAAATGACCTTCGGCGCTCGATACTCTTGAACCAATCACATCAACACACCACTCGAGAAAACAATCGAAACTCTGGCTCGGATTTACATCATACTCATTCCACTTTCGCTTGATGTACTGTTTCAGCTCGGAAAAGAACTCCTCGATCGGGTTCAAGTCCGGCGAATAAGGTGGAAGATACACTAGCTTGACGCCGCGATCCACGCACATTTGCTGGATCTTGTCGGTACGATGAAACGATGCGTTGTCCATGATAAGAACAGACTTTGGTTCCGGCCATCTGTTGCAATGTTGAAGAAGCTGTTCGATGAAATCCTCGAAAACAATGCCGTCGGTAGAGCCTTGGAATATACGCCTCAAGACAATGCCATCTTGAGCATACGCAGGAAGTATCTGATAGCGTTTATCGCGGTGAAACTTGGAGATTTGAACCGGGGTCACACCGAGAGGGGACCACCCTGTCCGTCTGAACCCTGCCCTTTTATCACAACCTGACTCGTCCACGAAAATCAAATGATAGGATTGAAAAGAAGCCAGGTTGTGAAGATAGTAGTCTCGCAAGTCCGCGTTTTGTTCTTTCGCAATTTGTCGTGCTGCTTTTTTCGACCAACCAGCTGAAGCAAGCGCTCTGCTGATACTTTGAATCGTCACACGCTTTCCAAACTCGTCCCAGAGAAACACAGCCATCTCGTCTTGGTATAAAGTCGGCTTTTCTTTCAGATATTCGCAGAGAGCTTCCAGCATCGTGGGCGTAATACTTCGTGGGCGTCCGACGCCGTTTCGCGGGGCTCTAACGTTTCCAAACGCGTGCAGATTGGAGCGAATATGTACAATTGACTGCCTGCTACATTCCGCAGCGGAGGCTATCTGAGACGTCGTCAGTGTGTTATTTTGAATCATATGATAGATGAGCTCCAGTTGTGAGGGTTTCAGGTTCGGTGCCATTTTGCTTGGTATAATTTTCTGGGACAGTTTTCCCGTGGCGCCAGCAAAACATCGAGACCCTGGTCGAGGATTTATTCACCAACAAGTTGCTATGTTATCCTCCAGGCCGAAATGACACCTCCTAGGAGTAATGGATTGCACGGGGAACGCATGCTGTTCAGGTTGAGAGGAAGATTGAGGACACCTGGTGGGTCGTCCAGTTGCTAGGCGACCATCTGTTCATGGTTGCGAAGACCCACCGTAGGTTCGTAGAATACCATAGAATAAACGTGGGTCTCCCAGGCCAGTTCTAATCTTGTTTGTGGAGGATCTGCCTGAAGGCTTACTGTACGTCTAGGCCACCTCTCAAACTCGTCCTCTTCTTTGAACTTCGGATTCATTCTATGGCATCTATGTTCCTGCTATCACATCCTACAAACAGGGCGTTGCAGTCAGCACAATTAGAAACTGGGGCGATCATCAGCAAATCAAATGGAATCAAATAACGAGGCTGCGATTCTAGACACAATATTGCAAAGAGTTTTTAGCTGAACATGAACACGAACACGTGTAAGGCTGGGCGTGTCGGTCCGACGCCGTCCGGCGGAATTTACCCTGCCCAGCCAGAGGCAGATTCCGCCAGCTGAAATCTTTTGCATAGCTAAATAATGGGTAGATAAAACAAACCTGGAAATTGAAAGACTATTTGCGAAAGAAGATGAGTGTGTGCACATGAGTAGGACGGATTGGGTGCTATCAATAGAAGATTATCGTGCTTGTACATCCATAATTGGCATGGCGCCGGCCTAGCCGTGGATATGCACAAATCAACTGCCGTCGGGAAGAGAGTGGAGCAGACGGCCCTAAGCGATGTGATGCGTTTGGGGGAGATGCGTCGGTCACGGACGGCACAGCCGCTGACCTACCAAGGCGCGGTGCCTTGCTCACCGAGCGCATTCAGCTGAACTGCCCCTCCACGGGCTAGCGGACTGTTAAATATTTCCTCGGTGGTTTGCCCTCGGCTTTGGCTTACATGCACAAGAAGGCTTGCTAGGCTGAATAGAAGATTCGGCGATGCAGCAAGTAGCGACTGTTCATGGCGGGGAGCCGAACCCGCTGGACAGCACCGGGCTCTGCCTATTGTCCCTCGATGGCGGTGGCGTGCGCGGGCTGTCAACCCTGTACATCCTGAAAGGGTTGATGGATCGACTGAATCTGGCACGCCCCGAGGGTTCACCAGCAAAGAAGCCCTGCGAGGTGTTTGACCTGATTGGCGGCACCAGTACAGGCGGGTGGGTTGATCCAATCCACGTTGTAATATCGGATGGCTGACAGATGCAGATTGATTGCAATCATGTTAGGTCGATTGGAGATGAATGTCGATGACTGCATTTTGGCATACATCAAGTTGATGAAGATGATTTTTGGAAAGCTCTCCAAACGGAGCCTATCTAGCCTTCTTGGCAAGATTGAACCCCGATTCGACGCCAACAAGCTTGAGGGCGCAATCAACGAAGTCATCAGTAGCTGCGGAGCCAAGCCGACCGATCTATTCAATGATCAAGCTGATCGGGGTTGCCGGGTGTAAGTGTATGTGAGCTGATAGATCCGTATCCTGCTAACGGCTCCAGGTTCGTCTGCAGCATCACGCAGGAGACCAAAGAGATCGTCCGCCTTCGCAGCTACCCCATGCGTAACAAGCCTGGAATTCCGGCCACCATCTGCCAGGCCGCCCGCGCAACTTCCGCCGCCACAACCTTCTTCGAGCCGGCGTCGATCGGGGCACGCAGATTCGCGGATGGCGCACTCGGGGCTAATAACCCCGTGGATGAGGTGGAAGACGAAGCATCTGATATCTGGTGTGAAGACACAGGGGACCTAAAGCCGCTGGTGAAGTGCTTTATCTCGATCGGCACGGGCCACCCCGGAAAGAAGGCGATGGAAGACAACCTGTTAAAGTTTGTTTCTAAAACCCTGCCAGCACTCGTCACCCAAACTGAGCATACGGAGAAGCGATTCATCGCGAGATGGCGGCAACATTATGATAGCAAACGGTATTTCCGATTCAATGTGGACCAGGGATTACAGGACGTCGGGCTGGCAGAATATCAGGAGCAAGGTTTAATTGAATCAGCGACAGAGGGGTACCTCGACCACCAGGCAGTGGCGTTTCGAGTGCGGGATTGCGTTGAAAATCTGAAATCAAAGCAAAGTGTGTATTTAGAAGACTTCTCATAGGCCTGGTATTTCTCTACTAATGGATAATAACGAATATAGGTGCCACCAACCTTAATCTTACTGAAGAGATTCGGGTTAGTGTTCAGTGACCAGAATGAATGTATGTGGCTAACCTCATACAGCGGTATCAGAAGAGCGTGGCTCTTTTGGAACAATGTATGCCGTTATTCTGGATATTTTACCCCGAAATCCAATACTAACAGAGCTCAAGGGCAGGGCCGTGCTCGGTGGCAGGTGCCATTTGAACGGAACACTAAGTTCACAGGCCGTGAGGATCTGTTTAGCGACCTGACACAGAAACTGCAACAGGAGTCTGATGCGACCACAAAAATTGCAATCATGGGCCTCGGTGGGGTGGGTAAGACACAGCTAGTACTTGAGCTAGCTCATCGCGTACGAGAAAGGTGCGCGGTCTCTTGGATTCCCGTTAATAGCCTGGCCAATCTCCAAACAGCATATCGCAAGGTGGCTCAAAACCTTGGTCTCTCCGGCTGGGACGAAATAGGTGTTGACATCCTGGAAATTGTCCGAACATATCTTAGTGATGAGGCTATTGGCCCGTGGCTGCTGATATTGGATAATGCCGATGACTTAGAGCTGTGGAGATCCCCACTCACATCTGAGGCTGGAGCCAAGCGCCTGATGGATTACATGCCCCGAAGCAGGCATGGGGCGATCATATGGACCACGCGCGATCGCAAGGTAGCCACAGCAGTCGCTCGAGAAAACGTAGTGACTGTGCGGCAAATGGACGAGTCCGGGGCCTCAGAGATGATGCGGAAATATCTGATTGATCCTAGTCGGATCAAAATCGATGAGGGTTTGTTACCAGGTCTCCTGCAGAAACTTACCTATCTTCCACTCGCCATTGTTCAGGCCGCATCGTATATCAATGAGACCGGGGAGTCACTCAAGACGTATGAAGCACTCTTGTCCAGCCACGATGACGAGGCGATTGAGCTCCTGAGTGAACATTTCGAAGATGACGGCAGATATTCAGGCATAGAGAATGCTGTGGCGAAAACATGGCTCATTTCATTTGAGCAGATCCGTCACCGCAGCTCTCTCGCGTTCGAATATCTTGGATTCATGGCCTGTGTGGACCCCAAAGACATTCCGCGGTCGCTGCTACCGCCTTCCGAGAGGTCATCGCCTAAACAGCAGACTGATGCGATCGGTATCCTTAATGCGTTCTCATTCATCACTAGACATGATGATGGATCGGCGTTTGATCTACATCGTCTGGTACATCTAGTGACGCGGGGGTGGCTGAAAAAGACAGGAGAGTTGCCAGCTTGCCACAAACAAGCGGTATTGCGACTGAGTGAACTACTGTCAGACATCAGCCAAACAAATCGGGCGCGCTGGCGGCTATACATATCCCATGCACAATATGCTGTGGGCGGGGACGAGAAGAAGTGCAACAAGGAAGAAGTCAATCTTGCAGAAAAGTGTGGGGACTGTCTTTACTATGACGGACGATACCGCGAAGCGGAGACCGTGTCTCAGATGGTCCTCGCTTCTCGGGAGAAGGTGCTAGGGCTCGAACATCCAGACACGCTCAGCAGCATCAGCAACCTTGGTTCAGTCCTTGTTAGCCAGGGCAAGTACGAAGAGGCCGAAGCCATGCACCGGCGGGCGTTACAAGACCGAGAGAAGGTGCTGGGGACAGAACATCCAGACACGCTCACTAGCGTCAACAACCTTGGTTCAGTCCTTGTTAGCCCAGGCAAGTACGAAGAGGCCGAAGCCATGCACCGGCGGGCGCTAGAAGGGTATGAGAAGGTCCTAGGGCCAGAACATCCAGCCACGCTCATCAGCGTCAGTAACCTTGGTTCAGTCCTGGATAGCCAGGGCAAGTACGAAGAGGCCGAAGCCATGCACCGGCGGGCGTTACAAGACCGAGAGAAGGTGCTAGGGCCAGAACATCCAGCCACGCTCATCAGCGTCAGCAACCTTGGTTCAGTCCTGGATAGCCAGGGCAAGTACGAAGAGGCCGAAGCCATGCACCGGCGGGCGCTACAAGACCGAGAGAAGGTGCTAGGGCCAGAACATCCAGCCACGCTCATCAGCGTCAGCAACCTTGGTTTAGTCCTTGTTAGCCAGGGCAAGTACGAAGAGGCCGAAGCCATGCACCGGCGCTGTCCACAGATTTAACTAAGTTCTTAACTCTGAAGACTTTATACTGTAGGTGCATGTTGTGATATATCGTCCCAAGCTCCAATGTTACACAGTCTTGAACGCCAGAATCATCATGGCCAATGAGAGTTCTGCGCCTCGGGTTTCTGGACTTACTGTAAAGACAGACTTCTCGTGAGCAATTATTAGTTGAGGCCTACGCCATCGGCTGCAAAAAGGCTGTTATTCGCAAGCACACGACAGAACCGTAGTTGAAATACTGTGTTGCGGACGTAATTCGTTGGTGATCCCTAAGCCAAATAGACACCTTTCAATGATGATGGCCGGCGCAGGGAATCAATCCATGCTGTAGGGTTGAGATGGAATTCCGAAGTCACCTAGCAAAAACTCCGGCAACCAGTTGCTAGGCGACCATCCCACATGATTTGCGAAGCCCCACAATAGATTTCCACTCAAATCTCGTAAGCGTCGCGTAATTTACGGGAATTGATAGGGACACTCCCACTTTTGTTCCGGAAACTCCTAATTATGTAATATCCATGATTAGGTAATTGAAAACGTCATGTGATTGTATTGGTATTCATTCTCCGTATTATTTACATGACCTTCGTGTATGCCCAACTTTATCACATGCAGTGCATTTAAAGGGTGCCCTCTTCCGTTTATTCATAGTCTCGCTGTCGTCTTTCTGCTCCAATTGATCCCACTTCCGCTTTTTAGGCTTTGGAAAAGGAATCAAAGGCTCTAAGAGAGGAAGGTATTCTGATTCCATTTCAGAAAGCCCAGTTCGCCAGAATGGGTGGATATCTGTCAATGGGATAGCTTTATTGCTCTCCAATAAACTAGTAATCCGATGGGCACAAGGAAGACCCATTGTCCTTGTGAACGTATTAGTACAAGGGGGTAAAGGAGCAAGATTTGTAGCTCTTCTAGCCTTTGTAACTTGCTCGCCAATCAGTCGTATCGAATAGCGGGAGGTCCTGATCACAATATTAGTATAAAGTTGATGTAAGGTTACTACTGGCCTCTCAATCTGATCTCGTCTAAAATCATATTCAAGCGTAGCATGCTGGGTTTGTAAAGCCTGTGAAATCCTTTCAAATACGATCAACATATCCCCTGTCGAAGCACCGATGTGCTTTTTAAAAAGGCATGTGAGCCTTCAACTCGAGAGGTCGCAGAATTACCGAGGTGTAGGCATTGTTGTGTCCATGCAACTATGAATTTTTCTTTATGAATTAGCCATGTCTCCTTAACATATCGAAGAGAAGGGGAGGTCTGATATCGCTTCTCGAACTCTGATAGCCTCGAATTGTAGTCGTTCTCTGTAGTAGAATAAATTAGCTGATTCCATGATTTTTGAAATGTTTGATATTCGGCGTTCGTCGTAAAATGCTGCTTCGTATTAGACGTTACGTTCTTGTTAATATGCCAGATGCAAAGAAGATGGGGATAATCTGGACAGACGACCTTGACAGCACCTAATAATGCAAGGTCTCTATCTGTACAAAGAACTGGATAGAAAGAGAGGGGGTCGAGAAATGAGAAAAAAGTCTTTAAAGCCCAAATATAGCTCTCTTCCTGTTCATTCTGCATAAAGCAAAATGCAACGCTAAAGGTTGAATTTGATGGCGAGACACCAATAATATGCAATAGAGGCATACGATATCGGTTTGTCTTATAGGTGCAGTCTAGGACGAATACCCTGTTGTATAGGTTAGCATACTTGATTGACTCTGGGTGTGCAAACATAAAAAAGAGGACATGTCCTTCGCTATCCTGCTTAATAGCATATTTCCAGTGATTTTCCTTCAAAGTCTTCAGTAGAAACTCAAGGGGAGTACTATTACCGAGCTTTTGCCTTCGTAAAGCACTTCGCGCATTGTAGATGTCTCGAGGGGTAACTAAAGCATTAGGATGCTCTCGTTTGATTAGAGCTAGGATGCCACGAGGGTTAGATCCAATTTCCGATAGATGTAGGACCTTTTGAAGCTGCTCCTCTGTGAGCCGACGGGCAGCTGAATGTCCGATCATATTATCATCAGCTGTGTGATTATGATTCCGGTTTTGGACCTGTAACTCCCACTTATCATCAAAAAGCATTTTCCCGTATAGCTTAAATGGACAGCCAATCCGCCGTGTAGTTGTCGTTCTTCGTTTCGCTCCATCAGGAGCATTCACTCGGTCACGATACGTGCCACCACGGTCACAACCAAGATAGATGTACTTATCTGTGATTGATCGTATAGTAGTGACAGCGTAACCTTGCGAGAGAGCATGCTGACGGACAGAGGCAATTAATAAATCTCTGCTATCAAAAATTTGCTCAGTAGGGGGCTCCATTTCTGAAAAATCCGAGAGGCAGAGATTTGAGGAGCTAAGAAAAGAGGGAGGCGAGGGCTGGGGATTTATACTATACTATGGTATGACATTTAGAATGATGTTGCTGTGGTAATTCCAATACAATCACATGACGTTTTCAATTACCTAATCATGGATATTACATAATTAGGAGTGTCCGGAACAAAAGTGGGAGTGTCCCTATCAATTCCCGTAATTTACATGCTAAAATACAATACCATACTGGGTGCCTTTTTCGATGTCCATCAATTTGATGCGGCCCGCTCAATAATTGATCTGCGCTAAGGCCTTGGCGGTGGGGCCAGAAAAGAGTGACGAAGAGTCTATCTGTCAAGCCGTTTTCGAGAACGACTGTAGCCTAGAACACCGACTTACCCAATTCATCAACGAGGTCACCACTGTCAACGAGGCCGGTAACACGTCCGGGCCTGATGACGAGGGGGAACTGGACCCGGAGAGCCCCGAATACCGCAAATTGGTGATTCTGAAATACACGCAGCGGCAAGCGATACCGATTGGATCATCTCCGCCGCATTTTCCGACGGATGCACCAACAATCGAAGACCCAAATGATGAAGTATGGCACGAGGCCAGCGAACGAAGCGATGACGAACAAACTCATCAATGAAATCGTTTGAGATTCTTCAATACAATGTACACAAATCGTGGCCAGTGATGGCAACGTTCCTCAGAGACAGAAATGTCCTCGCGGCGGACGTCGTCGCGGTGCAGGAGCCATGGAAGAACGAAATGCAACACACAACGCACCAACCAGCGACGGCAACATTCCAGCTAATTTACCCACCAAAAGCAGCTGCCGACGGAACAACCCAAGGCCAGGACAATCAAGTCCAAGCCTGGGATCTCTCCCAACCGGGCGTATGCCTGTTTGTGTCTAAAAGGCTTGACCCGAGCACTTGGTCATGTCAACTCGTCTCACAGGACTACCAGTTACTGAAACTTAGAAAGGCTCATCAGGGCAGAGACTGGACAGATCTCTTCATACACAACATATACAATAGGCCGGGCAGCAATACTCTTAGACATCTAAGAAATGAGCTGTCAAAACGACCTCTTGGAAAACACATCATCCTTGGAGATATGAACGCGCATCACCCGAGATGGGGAGGAACAGGGACCAGGCCTGATAAGGAGGCCGAGCAACTCCTAGAAATCGCCAATGAATGGGGACTCGAGTTGACGACCCAACAAGGCAGACCTACCTGGTCTCGAAACGATCAGTCGTCGGTGATTGACCTCACCTTCATCACATCCAACCTTGTCAACAGGCTTGTCAATTGCGAGAGGGCGGATGACATCGAACACGCATCCGACCATTTCCCGATCAGGACTGTGCTTGATATTATTACACCCATTGCAGTACAACAGAAGAGAAGGAACTGGAACGCAACCGATGATCAAAAACTCATCCAGAAGATCGAAGGAAGTTTACAGGCAGGAGGCCTATACCAGGCAGATCCGCAGAGGATAGAAGCCAAATGCCAGGAGCTTATGGGTGTGATCCAATCAGCAATCGAGGAATCAACCCCATGGGCAAATCCATCCGCGTGGTCGAACCCCGATTTTGACGACGAGTGTAAAGTTGCGGTCAAAGAAGTTCGTCGCCTCCGTCGCAGACATACGAGAACCAAAGACCCCTACGACTGGATGTGCTACTCTGAAGCACGCAACAGAAAAACACGACTCGTCAAGAAAACCTTGTCAAGAGCGCACCGGCGCCGAGTCCAGCAGGTCATTGAAGATGGCCCACAGGGTATGTGGCGATTGGCTAAATGGGCAAGAAACCGAGACGGGGCATATGAGAAGGGTATCACCCCTTCGCTGAAAATACAAGATCCCCAAGTGCCTGGAACTCTCGCGGAAACAGTTGAGCAAAAGGCAGAGGCATTCCGGACTGCCTTCTTCCCAAAACCACCACCAGCCGATCTATCCGACACAGATTCATTCCTGTACCCACAGCAAATCGAGTTTCCAGCAGTCACCGCTCAAGAGATACAGGAGGCGGTGCGAGGAGCGAAAGCAGGGAAAGCACCCGGAGAAGACGGTATACCAAACTCTCTCTGGCACAAGCTTATCGAGATACCGGTGATTCTAGAAACAGTGGTCCAGTTATTCAACGCATGCATAAACACGGGGTACAACCCTTCACATTTCCAGCGCTCAATCACGGTGGTGCTCCGGAAGCAAGGCAAAAGTGACTACCAGCTCGCAAAATCCTACAGACCCGTCGCGCTGCTGAACACGCTCGGAAAGTTTCTGGAGGCAGTTGTCGCGCGACGGATCAGCTACGCAGCAGAAACCAACGGTTTACTCCCACGAACCCATCTAGGCGGGCGAAAGGGCATATCCACCGATCATGCTATCCACATTATCATCGACCGAATCAAAACCGCATGGGGAAAAGGCAAGCCAGTGGTATCTCTGCTAATGCTGGACGTGTCTGGAGCGTACGACAATGTCTCCCATGAACGTCTACTACACAACCTCAAGAAACGACGTCTGGGACACTTCGTTCCCTGGGTGAGGGCCTTCTTGACCAACCGAAGCACATGGATCCGCATGCCCGAGGGCACATCTGATCGAATCCCGACACCTACAGGCATCCCTCAAGGATCACCGATCTCACCCATTCTATATCTCATCTACAACGCAGACCTCGTTGAGAACTGCGGTAACGGTGTGACTAGCAACGGGTGGGTCGACGATGTTTGCTTCATGACAAAGGGAGACAGCGAACGCGAAACCATCAAGAAACTCAGGGCGGCATGCCGCAAAGCCGACCAATGGGCCGAGAAACATGCATCAGTTTTTGACCCGAAGAAGTATGCACTCGTGCATTTTGTAAACACCAGGGAAGTCGACCCACAACACACATCGCTGTCTCTACGAGGTCACACCGTGACAGCCACAAGGACAGCTGAGCGATACCTCGGCTACTGGCTGGATCCGGGTCTGGAATTCCACCATCACCGCGAGAAAGCGGTGGCCAAGGCCGGCGTCTCTCTCCACGCACTACGAAGCCTGGCAGGGTCAACGTGGGGAGCCTCACTCTATGCAATGCGGAAGATCTACCAAGCAGTGATCATCCCACAAATGCTCTTTGGGGTTTCCGCGTGGTATCAACCTATGCTCATCAGTAATTCCAAGGCACACAAAATCAGTAAGCCTTTCGCGGCAATACAAAAACAGGCAGCATGCCTCATCAGTGGAGCTTTCAAAACCACGGCAGCAGAGGCACTGAATACAGAGCTTCACCTACCGCCTATCGCTGTTCACACGAACCGATTGGTGAAGGAAACGGCTCTGCGACTACGAACAGGACCGATATTCGCCGTCCCGCCATTGATGTTGCGACGTCGACCCGCAGACGAGAGACAGTGGGCTGGATGGACACCAATGGAGGCGCAGGCCTGGAGGACAGACGGATGCCTCACGGCTCCCCCGGGGACTTTGGCGAGAAGATGGGAGAGTCGAACGGCATTTGTCCTGGCACCATGGCAAGCGCCACCAGAGGTGATCATCGAGGACAGAGAAGCTGCGGTCAACAATCACAACCAGATCCTGACGAAAGACCCAAGAGAAAGACCCTTGATACTGTACACCGACGGGAGCGGGAGTGATGGAAGGATCGGAGCGGCAGCGGTCGTGGACCTTGAGGATCAACATGCTCATAGCCAGATGGGAGATGATAATACGTCCACCGTATATGCGGCAGAGCTTCGAGCCATTGAGATGGCACTTGAAATGGTTCTGGACAGCACAGAGCCATGGGCTAAGCAGGCGAAGAACGGGGTAGTCATCTTTGTAGACAGCCAAGCAGCGCTGAAGGCGCTGAGGCGACCGCGGATGCCGTCAGGACAGGTCTATCGAGCAGGATGCCTCAACCTGATCCGACAACTTGCGGGCAGAAGCATTCGGACAGAACTCAGATGGATTCCTGCGCACCAAGGAGTCATTGGCAACGAGATCGTGGACCAACACGCAAAAGAAGCGGCGCAGGAACCGGACGGGCTGCATAACCCTCTCAACCGAGACATACGTCTCGCAGCCGCAGCGAGACGACAAATTCGCAGAGAAGCGAAGCTGGAGTGGGACAGAACGTGGGCGAAGGAAACGACCAGTCGTCCGACGAAACGCTTGATTGAAGCACCAACAAAGAAGACGCTAGAATACTGGACGGGCTTGCGCAAAGCGACGACATCAATTCTGATGCAGCTTAGAACTGGGCGAATAGGCCTAGGGGCTTACCTGAATCGTATCAACCGACGCGAAACAGCGCGGTGTGATTGCGATCTTGGTAGCCAAACAGTGTCACACGTCCTGCTGGAATGCCCCTTGCACCAGGACGAGCGAGACTGGATGAGAAGCGCTCTCTCATACCAGGGAGTCGCTCTCCACCGGGACGAACTTTTCACACGACCGGAGGCCCGCACAGTTGTGGCCGAATTCATGGTCAAGACCGGCCTTCTAGGCCAATTTCAGACAGTCGATCCCACGGCTCTAGGCGAGGAGCAGGGGGATGACAAAGGAGCGGAGATAATGACCCCTTAGACAGTGTGACGGAAGAAGAAGGATGGCGCCCGTAGGAGTGCAGTGCCAGGTCCACTGCATTCCCTTGATCTAAGCGAGCGCGCAAGCGGCAGCCGACAAGACTGAACGGTTGGGGAGAAGTGGACGTTGGAATGGTGGGAAGTAGGCGGGGCCTCCCACCCGTGATCAGGGGTAAATGACGTCATTTTGGCTTTTTGTTTATGATGTTTGCATCCGTGCATTTCTTTTGTTCATTTACATATTTCCATTCGAGGGCGATTGACCAGAAACTCGTACGAGTTTCCAACGGTCGCCCAGTGGGCTGGCGACCACCTTTTTCCAGCTGTCGGCAGGCCTGACAGCACTCCCGCATAGCAGCATATATATAGAGCGAGCTACATCGGGCAAATGAGTTCATCATCATCATCATGCTCATTACTTCCCGATAACCTTGCATACCGAGACTTATGCAAAGATGATGCCGTGTAGTTAAACATGCCGAGCGAGGATTATCAGGGGTTCTATTGACCTTATAATAGTATCAATCTTTGCCTGTCACTTATAACATCATCCATATAGATAATATCTTCCCCAAGAGCCGATCTTCACTTCTTAACAAAGTGAGCAGATAAGAATGGATGACCACAATCCGTTTAGCCCATGAGTGTCTCGCACCATCATCTCTTCAAGCAAGCCTCTGGTCCAAAATCGGGCGTTCCCCCAAGCGAGCCAAAAATATCGCCGACGTAGTTGGTTGCTTCCACGCCCTTCTCAAACGTAGACCAGCCCTCAAGAATACCCTCAACAACCTTTATTCCAGACAGATACAGGTTCCGACATGCTGGTGCAAACCCGCCATGGTCAAAGACGAAAGGCAGAGAAGCAAGCTCGCTCGGCGAATAGCTCCGATCAAAGTTCGAGCCGGCGCGCATGAGGATAATACGCGAGAAGTCTACGCGTTTCTGGACGGCGGCCCGCAGGAGCGCGGCCAGGGTTCCTGTGTCTTCCATTGCCGTCATGTAGTACTCAGCCTTACCGGATGTATAAAGCTTGACGACCTTCTCGAATCCTTCACATAGATGAGTCCCGTGGAAGAATATGTTGCTGGCGGTGACGTCGCCTTCAATGATCTGTGGATCCGAGTTTGCGGCGTCGTAAATCCCTCCCGGCGAGTTCGCGTAAAAGGCGCGATTTTTGACCGCCGCGGGCGAATCTGTCAACTTTGCCCCCTTCGCAAAGGATATTACATGCTGTCTTAGATTGTCGTTCAGCTCGAAAGCCTCGGAGCCCATTAACGTGTCCGGATAAGAATCGTGGGAAGGTGCTCCCATCGGGACATAACCAGTCGTCCATGTCGAGGGTATTTCTCGCGCGTCGAATTCAAGCTGTAGATCGACTTGGACGGCGAATTTCGCTACTGCAACTGAGCCGATGGTTGCAACTTTGGGGTTGACACCGCCGATTCCGGACAGCAGGAAGTATGTTTTGGACAGATCGAACAGAGCCGACGAGGAGAGTGCTGAAAGGGCGAGCGCAGCATTGATCACTATTGAGGCTCATCAGCACCTTTTATCCTCTTGCCAGACACAGTGAGCCATTACAGGCAATTCCGGTAACTACAAGACAAACTGTTTTATCTGCTGTACAGTGCACCTCATCATATCCATGTGAAAGGCCTGGGATGCGGACTGTGTGTTCGAATTTTAGAGCACTATCCTTTGCCAGCCAGTTGGTCGCTTCTTGGTTGAACTGGGCACTCATTCAGAGTGTTAGTAGATCATGAGTATGCCCATTTCTGTTTATCCCACTTTTGCTCTCTTGAGCGCACGCCTGATTTGCTTACCATCGCTACAATAAGCACTTTGGGTGCAAGTTGCTCGCCTGGTGGGCCTGGCAACAACCCGAGCGCTTTTTGCGCATAACCGAAGAAAAACTCCAATGGGTACATAGCGGGCAATGGAAAGTTTCAAAATCAATTTCTGCACTGATATTTTGTGGTCGAGGAAACAGAATCCGAATTTTTGTGATCTGGAAAAGTAGAGGCTAGAAGGGTAGCCAGGGAATAGTAGAAAAAGAGGATTTCGGATTCAGCGTGAAAGGGGGAAGGGGACCATTGAGCCTCCCTCTCATTCTCCGAGGGGCTGGCTGCATAGACCAAGCCAATGCGCCCACCCATCCTATCCTAGTGTATTACAGGGATGTGCTCAGGTGATTATCCTGGCTGTTTGTAGGTAATTATGTAGGTGGGTGATACGCAGGTATGTAATGCTGCCTAAAAGATCGCTCTATGAGGATGTCCAGCAGACTCTCAACTCTCTGCTACCCTCCAGCCCAGGTGCTGGGGCTGAGCGATAATTCTCGCATTGGCAGGTCAGCTGTCCGGATAACTGACCACAGCACCTAACACATCGAGAAGGGGATGGGCCCTACACAAAATTGTCTTTCACATGTTGTATGGGAAGTCAATAGGGTTCTATATGTACAGTCAACTCTCGCTTATACCACGGTGGGATATTGCACATTCTTGATAATAACACATCCCTTGCTTGGATGGCCCCTTCATTCCAGTTTTTTCCATATAAATTGACAGAATATAACACATTTTGTTTTACCACACTTTCTTCCTCTCAAATCTGCTTAGTCAGCGCAATCAACCAATCAGAATGCCTCAATCTACAAGCTCTCCTACCCTCCCGACCCCACCCAAGCGCGTCAGAATGGGACCAAAGCGTACCAAATTGGGTATATCAGACGCGCAGAAACAGGCACTACGGGCATTTTGGTCTAATACTAGCCCAAAGCCCACGCAGACTGCATGTGCTAAGTGGTTTGAGGACCAATTCAAACAAGTGATTGACCGGTCAACCATATCAAGGATCCTTTCATCCAAATACAATTATCTTGATACGGGCCCTGCAGGGGCAAACAAACGATCTTCATCCTCTCATTGGCCATTATTGGACCAAAAGCTATATGACTGGGCAGATAACCATATTGGCAATGGAATACCAATAAATGGCCCTTTGATCCAAACTAAAGCAGCTGAGCTTTGGAGACAAATACCGGAATACAAAGATCGGACCAAACCTCAATTCTCTGAGGGTTGGTTAACTCGCTTCAAACAACGCCACTCTCTTCAATATCATACTTTCCACGGAGAAGCTGCCTCAGTCCCATCCTCGGTACATGATCAGATCAAAAGCACCAAATCGATTTGCAATCAATTCAAACCGTCCGAAATCTACAATATGGATGAAACTGGCCTATTTTGGCGACGTATGCCAAATGGTGGTCTTTCAAAGGGAAAAATTGCTGGCAAAAAGCTTGATAAAACACGAATCACTATTGTTGTTGCATCAAATGCGGATGGTTCCGATCGAGTCCCTTTATGGTTGATTGGCACAGCAAAAACCCCTCGCGCACTCCGGGGGGTTAATTTCCGAGCTCTGGGATGTGTTTGGCGTCACAACAAGGCAGCATGGATGCGTCATGACATTATGGAGGACTGGTTGCGATCTTTCTATGGGCGTATTCCCTTAGATAAGAAAGCTTTGCTCCTTTTAGACAATGCTTCACCACATGTTATTGGACTCCAGCGAGCGCCACCACCACCCCGGATTACGGTTGTTTTTTTGCCAGCAAACGCAACTTCAATTTATCAACCCTTGGACCAAGGTATTATCCAAAACTTGAAGCACCATTATCGGAAGAAATGGATGCGCTATATGATTGCTTTTCTTGATCGTGGGATAGACCCAAAACAAAGAATGAGCATTTATTATACTGTTACCTGGGTAACGCAAGTTTGGAGAACAAGTGTATCAGACCAAACGATTATCAATTGCTTTAAACAAAGTACTTTGATTAGTCCAAAGTCTATACCTATACCTGAGTCCGCGCCCGAGTCCGCACCTGAGTCTGCACTATTTTCCGAGCCCGGATTGAGTGATGAGATTGAAAGTCTATATAATCAAGCAATTGATAAGCTTGGTGATAAAGATATTGTGCCATTTGACGAGTTTTTGAACCCTTCGGACGAAGACATGTTAGAAGATGGGACTGAAGGGCGAGATGAGACCAATGAGCAAGATATATATATTGCCCCAACAACCTCAGAAATTCAGGATATTGACATTGATGGGCCCCCACCTGAGCTTCTGTCTAATTCTGCTATATTGGACAGCCTCCAGGATATCCTACTATGGGTTTGTAGCAAAGAAAAGGGTACCTCGGACCATATTAGACAAATTGAGAGCTTAATCAGCGACTTTGGCAGGATTCAGATTGATGAGAAACGTCAGGTGACTTTGGATCAGATGATGGGATGGAAGACTAAATAGGTATTAGGGCTTAGAGTTAGCTTGTCAAATATTATGTCATCCTCTCACCAAAACACAACTCAATTATACCACGTAATTTGGCTTGGATAGTATGCTGTGGTATAAGCGAGAGTTGACTGTATGTATATATTTTCAATAATTTCTACAGACCACCCCTTACGGGTGTGAAAATCTCTTAAATGTAGATTGTAGTGGAAATACTATCTGCTACCCGATGGTGAAAATAAGAGTCCCAATGAAACAGAATATCAATAAGTGAAAGCATTGCTGGGTTATCCTTCAGGCTGCTACTGCCTGACCGAGCCTCGCGGATCGAGCTACAAAACTGATCCACCATTAACCATCTTCAAAGAATCCGTCCAAACCTGATGTTCCAACTCTTCGTTGAAAGCATGTTCCGCATAGCCCGCAATGTCGGGCACATGGTCGTACTCTCGATCATCTGGATACAACCCTGCCACCTCACAATTTTCAAGGTAAACACCACCTTTGTTCTCGAATTCCTTTGCGATAGCTGCCAGGACCGTGGTTGCCGCTCCTTGCGCGGGACTCTTCATAGTCTTCCACGTAGAGCGGGCATACTCTGCTGCCTCCTCCGAAGGAAGATATCTTTGGATCCCCGTCGAAATAGCTCCTGGCATCAAGGAGGTGGCATGGAGACCTTGGGAGCCAAAGCGGCGTTCAATTTCGTTGGTCATATAGATGTTCGCAGTCTTGCTCTGCGCATAGGCGCCCCACATGTTGTATTCATCGGGCCGCTTGGTATAGCTGTAGTCGTCGAGGCGAATCCCACCGCCACGATGGCCGCTGCTAGAGACTGCCACCACACGAGATGAGTAGTTGGGAGAAGATGAGGCCAGGAGCGTGTCCTTAAGCAGCTGGAAGAGCAAGAAGTGCCCGAGATGGTTGACTGCAAACTGTGTTTCAAAACCATCCACCGTGGTGGTTAGATCGGCGATTGCCATAACGCCGGCATTACAAATGAGGACGTTTAGCTGTGTACTCTTCGCAAGGAAGCGCTCGGCTCCGGCTCTTACTCCAGCTAGGGAGCTGAGGTCCATCTCAATGATCTCGACCTGGCCTGGCTTCAAGATACCCACAAGCGCCGCCTCCGCTGCAGGGATATTCCGTGCAGTAAGATAGAGCGTCGCTCCGGTGGTGGCCAGGGCTTTGGCTGTCTCGACCCCAAGCCCCGAGGAGCAGCCGCTGATGAGGAAGACCTTACCGGCGAGTTTACCGATCAGACCTTCATCTTCTACGATCTGCAAGGCCGTCGGACGGGCATCCCCAGGTCCGTTGGTTGACTTGTGCGCTTCAGCGTATTTCGAGGGCATGGTGATTGGAAGAGAATTCCGTGTGTGGGGTCTGGGAGACGAGATAATGAGAATGAGAAAAACTGCGACAAATAGAAGGTTTGCTATGGTTTTATGTCTCTGTATACTTCTTTTGAACTGCGCGAGCATGGAGAGTGGTGGCTTTTTCCCAGCTCTTTCCCACTCAGCCTCCCCAGTCTTCCCCAGCCTTCACTAGATATAAGATTCAGCGGCAGCATTCTCACCCGGGTTCGTAACTTTGGGTACCAAGGCGGTTTCCCATGGTGGAGGCAGTGCTGGTACACAGGACCAGCGGCCCAAGTGCGGCTCTGCTGCGTGATTTACGGTACCAGTACAACTTGTCGACTGGACAACCTGCTGCAATCCTTGCGCCTCACTTTATGTATGACCCCCTGGGGGGAATCTGCTATGTGTACATATCACAACCTGTCGACGGCAATACATGATTCGGAACCACCGGATATGAACTCAACGAAAGTGCCAGGGAGACCAGGGTGGCATGACTCGTTGACGTGGCCTCCTTTATCTTCGCCAATCGCGGCAACGTTGAGAGTTACACATGCCTAGATGGAAATATTACGCTGTAACGTGTCAGCCCGCAATTAGCTGCAGCAATACTGGCATATCCAATCAGCGACCGTCAACCACCGAGTCAGCAATTTGAACTCCGTAGATTCAATGCAATATTTCCCGCTTAAGGCGCATACGTTAGCACCCTTTTCTAATTTCTTGGCAACCTAGGCTATGAAAGGCTCGTGCTGGTGAGACCAGGAACAGAGCCCAATGAAAGGCTTGGGTGTCAGCCCTAGGCTGTTTGCTGCGGACATGCTCCCCTTCGCATCCCCTGACCGGATAGGTCTTATGTAGTGTGATATGTCTTCTTTCATTCTATTGGGATTTTGGATACTCACCCCCTGCCACTTCCAGTCCCGACCTAACCGCCCCGCGCGATTTTGAACAAGATAGACACAGGCCCTCCACCAAATCTCGTGCCAGTCGATCGGTTGGTCCTCGCGGGTTTGAATTGGTCTTTGTTTTCGTATTCGCCTTTGAAAACCCCGTCCCCTACCTCTTCCCGTTATAGGAGTGGTGGGTGTCTAAAGTATAGGTACAGTGGTGTAACATAAGTATTTGATCTCTGGTACTTCGGGCACCACTTTATGGCCTGACCGCCTTTGAGACCGGCCAGCGTCAAGAATTGACTTTCACACGTCCGAAAGACCAGCTTTTTCAGCATAATAAAGAGGGCCATCAAGTACAGATGGTTCCGGCGCGTGGGAAGCAAATTAAGCAGATGTTTTGGGCTGCTTTTTGTGGTTTACCACGTCGTTCTGGCCTAATTCCGCTATTCGGGGATCCGCAGTCTCGCCGCGGTGGTGCCTCGTCTCGTACAATTGAAGAGCTTTATCGGCGTATCCTACCTACGCTACTTAATAGCCTTGATCAAGATGCTATTTTAAAGCAAGGTAACGCGCTGGTACATACTGCATATATTGTACGGGACGCGCTAAATGAGCTTGAATGCGAAATTATGGAATGGCCACCCTATTCGCCTGATCTAAATCCATTTGAGAACCTATGGGCGCTGCTGAAAGCCGAAATATTGAAGCGTCACCCCGAGCTTATGCCCCTACCAGATAACGAATCTATGCTAGATCTATTAGTAAAAGCCGCGCAGGAAGTTTGGGAAACCTAGAAATTGACATATTCAAGCATCTAGCTGATACTATGCCTCACAGAGCGGCTGATGTTATCAAATATGAAGGGTGTCATACTAGCTATTAAATTGGATTGAATTTCGGGAGGTTTCTGCCAGGCAGTATCTAAAGAGTGGATCCAAGCCCGAAGTACCAGAGGTCAAATACTTATGTTACACCACTGTACTATCTGGGCACCCCGCTGGCAATAGCAAATACCCTGATGATGTTCTACGTCAACGGCCTGCTTGGAGTACAATATCTCTCCTCTACTAATGAGGCTCTAACGATGAGTCGTCCCACAACAAATGGGCAATGGACAGTGAAGCCCGGCGGGTAGTTTCGTGGCCCATGTTAAAGCGCGTTCTCATTCCACCGGGTCATCGTTGGTTTCCTCTCTATTTTTCTCTTTAAAATTCCAAGTTTGCCAATTTTTTTTTTTCAAGTCAAGGTGTCGCAAACCCATCCTTTATCATGTTTCAAGACGCCTCCGAGTCTTATGATCCTCGCTCCCTGGTGGATGAACGAATTCAGCCTTGGCGCAAGTGGTGGCCGTACAAGCCTCACAATGGAGATAAAACGACCAGTCCGGTGGTTGTAGACAGCACAGGCGAGGCGCCTTGGATCAAGTGGGAATTCGACAACGATCGTCCATGGGAGAAACCGTGGATCTACTGGCCTCTTAGCTGGTCGTCCAAGTACTGTTTGTGTTCACCTATATTCTCCAGTATGACCATTCTTTCAGTCGTATTAGGATGCTTACCACTGGAAAAAATCAGATGGTCATGCACATGTAGAGCCAGAAGTGACCCACGATCCCGAATTCATCGAGAAGTGTTTGCAGCAGCAATCTCCGCATCCACTCTCTGCGTTCCGTCCCTTACGAACGACCTCGTTCGTCCAGTTTTTCAAGGCGAAACCAGGCCACGAGGAGGAGAAGCCATATGCTCTCCGCGTTCCTGTTTCTGGAGAGAGCCAGCTGCAGTCCAACTTCGAGGGAGCCTGGTCTCAGATCATGCTGACGGATGTTCGGGGCCACGAAGATTTATTTTCACTCGATAATGATGGATTTGCATGGTTTCATCATGCCTGTCAGGTCGACGTCCTGGATCGGTTTTTTGATATCCATCAGTACATGCGGGAGATGTCGGACTTCATGTGCCGGCAATTTAATGCCCAAGAAGTATTCATATACGATTATGTTCGACGAAGCCCGCACCCAGAAGACAGGAAATCTGGCTTCAGCGACATTACTCGAAGAATTCATTGCGGTAAGTTCTTTCTGGACTACTGGCATTTTTTTTGAGGTTACCTCTAAGATATAGTTATGAATAGACCAATCCCCACGTTCCGCAATCGGACGAATCAAGCTCCACATGGGTGACCATGCAGAAGAGCTGCTGAAGCATCGCTGCAGGATTTTCAGGTAAAGAGATTTGTTCAATATATGTCATCCCAGCTAACATGTATGGAAAAATTAGTCTCTGGAGACCTATGTTGACCGTAATCGAGTCTTACCCACTGACGGCTTGCACATATACCTCGACAGTCAGCGGCGATATCGTGCCCATCGACGTGATATATCCCCATTACGCAGAAGAGTCATTTGAAATCCGCCACTCTTTGGCCCACCAATGGTTCTGGAAATCTGCGATGACGCATGAGGACATCATGCTAATCAAGCTCTTTGACAACAAAATGGATCCAAACACCGCGTTCTGTAAGTTTAATTGCCTGGGGAAGCAAAAGGGGCGGAGGGATCCCGAGATACCAGCATCGGCCCGGCTGACACGTTGATAGATGCACCGCATGGAAGCTGGAGAGACCCCAATGCGCGGAAGGACGCCCAGTCCAGAAGAAGCATCGAGCTCCGGTGCATGATTTTCGGTGGAGACTGAAGGCTCGGAAAAATGGAGTGCTGATTTTGAGTTTGAGTTTTGATGTGTACACAGTGTGGCCACGAGACTGACAAAGGGCGCTAATGCGAGTAAGCTGTAACTATTGAATTGAATATACCAAAGCGTAGTTTCGCGACTGATTATTGGGCACGTTGATATTCTTTACAGTAAATGAGTCGATACTACCAAAATGTATGCACGCCGAATTGCATTCTTTTGTAAATTAGGGGGCTAGAAAATGTATACCTAGGTGTCGAGGGTGCTTTAATCCAACGTGTTTCATTAAAGCACCCGGGTAAACAGAAAATAAGATAGCGTCCCTACTTTTCGAAACATCAGGATGCAAGAACCCTTTGAAGCCTCAGGTAAGTTCCAAGGCGCCTTGGTCCAAGTTTAGCCATTGCTTGCTGACCTGCGATGGCGCGACAAAAAGGAACGATGACTGGGTTAAGAAATCTGTCTGGAGAGATACAAGGAGAAGGTAAGTCGGTATGGTAAGGTTTGTCTTGCCTTGGATAGGCAACCATGGCTAGTGCATTACTGGGCATGCCGATACAAGTTCGAGGGCCGCACAGGGCTCGCAGTCTAGGGTCGTGCAAACCTGCCATAACAAGAAGAGGCGCTACGAACGGGGCATTCAATGAGAGTGACCATTGAAATGGGTCGGAGTTAGGCAGGTCCAGCTTCCAATTAGGAGTCGCTCAGGCTCGTGGTTGGGCTTTAAGCAGGGGTTCCTCCGTCTCAAGCGTCAACCCAGGCGCAGCCCCGAGATTCCTTCCAAACGAGACAGAGCCCAATCAAGATGAAGACACCCAATTTATGCAGTTGGATATATTTGGATGCAGTGGCTTCTTACGACTCGGCACGTGGAAGTGGAGTCGCCCCAGTGTGATGAGATGTCTGAAGCCTGGGGACCGGTCGGATTGACTACCGTGCGGTCTCACTTGGTGCAAGAATGGAGTCAAGAGGAGTGAAAAGGCCCCCTGCTTTAAGCTGATCTCAACCTACAGATTTTCTCTGGAAGACTTGTTTAACCTCTTGACCATGAAAATGTCGCTAAAATCACACAAGGCATTTCTGGAGGGCTTGGAGGATACCAAGTCCACTTTGTCATGCCCAGCATCGAGTGCTCGCCGGCCATTAAGAGTTCTCTCTTTGGGTATGTCTTGCCACGCGAAGCCCCCTAAACCCACCTGAACTTGCTTATTAGGTCGACACTAACACTGATGAATGATAGATGGGGGAGGAGTCCGGGGGCTGTCATCGCTCCTCATCCTCAGACGTATCATGTATAACATCCAGCCTACCGACGACCTTTATAGGATCATTAAGCCCTACGATGTCTTTGACATGATATGCGGCACGAGTACAGGCGGGTTCGTTTTGCGCACATCTGGTAAAGGTTGTTATCCACCAGGGCTAACATGAGCAGGTTAATCGCTATTATGCTGGGGAGACTCCGGATGGGTATTCAAGAAACCATCGACGCTTATCTGAGCCTGGCAAAGGATGTCTTTCAAGAGAAACCTCAGTCCTTGCTGATTCCAGGAGTTCTTGGGGCGATGGCGGGACGAGCTCGTTTCAGCGGGGAGAAACTCGCCACTGCCGTGAAGCGTGTCGTAGAGAAACAAACTGGAGACGAAAACGCGTGTTTCTTCGAATCCCGAGAGGACCAGTGCCGAGTGTGAGTAGCTCTTGTCTCCCGGATCTCCATTTCGTGACTGACAAAACCCACCTCTGGTTCATAGTTTCGTGTGCGCCACGAGAACGGCCAATACCGAGCCAGCTATCATGCGCTCCTATCGCAGCGACGAAGAGGATAGTGCTCAGGGCACAATTTGGCAAGTAGCCAGGGCAACCTCTGCGGCACCAACCTTCTTTTCATCGATTACGTTCGGCAACCCGCCAGCCAATTATGTGGACGGCGCCATGGTCCACAATAATCCCATACGACTATTAATGCGCGAAGTTACAAAGGTCTGGGGTGACGATGCCGAGCTTTTCTGTGTCTTGAGTATTGGAACAGGTACTCCAACGACCAGGAAACTCGGTACCCTGGGACATCAAATTCTCTCCGCCTGCGCTAAGTTAGCGACTCATGCCGAGAACATCGCTCGAGATTTCAAGGCTGATCAGGGTGGGCGATTGCAGAAAGAAGGAAAATATTTTCGGTTCAACGTCGCGCAGGGGCTTCAAGGCGTGAAACTGGAGGAATGGCAGGCTTTTGATCTGATGGATGCTTCGACAAGAACGTACCTAAACGACGTGGAGCTTGAGGTTGATGCTTGTTCTCGCCGACTCGGGAAAGGCACGGAGGGGGAAACAATGTCTCAGTTGACACAGGAGGTTCTTCCTTCATTCCCTCGAAGTGTTGAGACTGAACTCAAGGCATCCATTCCTTCATCTTCTCCGACCATTAAAGCTGGATTCAGGGCATCTCTTCCTCCTGCTCCCAGTCTTACTGGACATACTGCTCCGGAATATGTCGACATCATCCGAGCATCTAGTCGCTACTTTACCGGCAGAACGGAGGTGCTCAAATCCCTACAGCAGTATTTCAGCTCGGTTAAGCGAGCATCTGCCCGGGTTGCAGTACTCATAGGACTTGGGGGTATGGGCAAGACCCAGACAGCTTTGCAGTACTTCGAGCACCGACGATCGTCCTATTCCATAGCACTATTCGTCGAGTGCAACACGAAACAGGAATGCATTGAAGCCTTCGTACGGTTTGCTCATTTGGTGGTCGACGAAGAATTGCGCCAGTTCCCCGAAAGCACATACATTGAGGCCGTCCAGAAATTGGGATTTTCTGGTCTCCTTAAGGAACAGAACCAGTCAAAGCAGTCTCCCACGTACGGCCAGATGCGGGTGGTGGAGGCAGTGAAGCGCTGGCTGGGCAGGCAGCAGGGGACGTTTTTGATCATTTTCGATAATGCAGACGAGCCATCCTCCGTCAATCTTGACAAATTCGTCCCTTCTCATCGTAATGGCGACATCATCATCACCACTCGCGACAAGGCCGCGACGGCCTTCGGTCAGCCGTTTCCCATCGAAGAGATGCCCAAGGATGAGGCAGTAGCCCTCTTGGAAAAGGCGTCAAACATGATATTTGATACCAAAGCGCGAAGGGACACCGCTGCGGAGATCGCCAAGACTCTTGGATACCTTCCCCTCGCCATTGATCAGGCAGGCGGCTACTTGACCTACTCAGATTCAGACCTGGCCGACTTCCTGCCCACCTATGCCCTTCACGCGCGGAGTCTGTTGTCACAGGTACCAAACGATGGGATGCTCGGATATAAACAGTCCGCCTTCACGACCTGGGAAATGAGCTTTGAGCGATTGCAGATCCTTTCGAAAAAATCGGCAGAGCTTTTGCAAGTCCTTGGTTTCATCAATAATCAAGATATCTGTGACCGGTTGTACAAAACTGGAAACGGCATTAGAAACGCAACAATTTCCATGCCAACATTCATGAAAGACAGCCAAGAATGGAGCACGCAAGAAGATGCCTTCGGGTTCCATGAAGCTTTCACATGTCTTTCGAAACTGTGTCTGGTCAAACGGAATGACGAAGCTCCGGGAACACGCACGTACAATATCCACCCGGTTGTTCATGTCTGGATTAGAGAACGTCTGAGCCCAAAAGATCGGGCTCTCTACGCTCGTGATGCGTTGCTGTTGGTTGCCCAATCTCTACCCTCCCTTCAGCAGTCAAAAGCTAAAGCCTGGGCAGTACACCGCCGGCTATATCCACATACACAAGCCGCTTGGACCAATGTCAAGCAGTATGCCCCGCCTAGCAACGACGGTAGGGAAGTTGCAATTCTGGATGCATTGGATATCGTGGCCACGTCTTTCAGGCAGCAAGGACATTATGAGCTGGCTGAGGAGGTATTGTTTCGAGCATATCAAGGAAGCAAACGTGCCTACGGCCCGCTTGATCGGAAAACGTTGCACAATGCCGAACGTCTGGCATCCGTTTATGACATTCGCGGTGAATTCAAGAAGGCGGAAGCGCTCTACAGACTCCTTTTTGACAGCCTCACCAATGTGTTAGGGCCTGGAAACAGAAAAACCCTGGCTGCCCTCCAAAACCTTGCCAACGTTCTCAAGTACCGAGGCAAGTCCGATGAAGCAGAACGATCTTACAAACAAGCACTCGAGGGACGCAAAAGGTTCGGAGAAGAGGACGCCGACACTCTTGAAACCATGGACGCGTTGGCAAGTCTGTACTATGCTTCTAGCCGCCCACAGGAGGCCGAACCGCTTCGGCTTTTTGTTTTGAAAGCGCGCGAAAAACGGTTTGGAGCAGACAATTTGGAAACGCTCGGTACAGTGTTGGATATGGGGATGTTATATTCGGGGCTGGGAGACAATGAGCGCACATTGGAACTGTATGAATATCCGGTCCTGTGGCTGTGCCAAGTGGCTTTTTCTTAATACGTTAACTGATCATCCGGAGCAGGTTCGAGAAAGCCTACGAGAGTCGAATGACTCTGTTTGATGCACCGCCAACTGAAAAGATACTCAATGCATTATCCGTGATTGCTGCCTTCTATGCCAATCTTGGACATATGGAAAGAGCGGAAACCATGTATCAAGAAGTTCTCTCGAGGCAAAAGTTTCTCCTCGGAGATTTACATCTTGATACCATTTGGACCCAGTGTTGTCTGGGTGTCGTTCTCTTCATCAAAGAGAGATCTGCACAATCAATTAAACAAGTGGAGAAAGCTTTTGCGGATATTGGATCCAAGTTGGGCCCTAACCACCTTGACACACTCTGGGTTGCCCATGCGCTTGCCATCGTCTATGAGTGTTGGGACAAGATCGACGAAGCCGAGCAGTTGCAAGAGCGCGTTGTGAAGGGCTTCTTGGACGAATTGGGACCTCACCACGTCAACACGCTCTACATGATCAATGATCTCGGCGATTGCTACTCGCGAGGCAAGAAAATGGACAAGGCCGAAACCAGCTTCCGCAAAGCATTTGAAGGAAAACTCAAGTGCTTCGGTTTCAGAAGTCCCCACACGTTATACACTGCCACCCTTCTGGCTGCGACGATGCGAGAGCTGGGGAACGAGAAAGAGGCGGAAGACCTCTTCAAAAGGGTTCTCGAGACCACCACTGACCTCTTGGGTAGCGAGCACGCTGATGCTACAGTATGTATGATGTACTTGGCAGACCTCTACGTGGGGCAGCAACGGTTCAAAGAAGCCCGAGATCTATACCAGAAGGTGTACGATACAAGGGTCAAATTGCAGGGAGCTGATCACAGCAATACCCGCCATACAAAGGAGCTGTTGGATGAGGTGGAGCACCGGATAAAATATCCGAGTGCGAGGAGGGCCAATCAACAAGTAATTGAGGCCAAGCTTGAGCCTCGCCATGTGTCATTTAGGCCGAGGAGGGTCAGAAGTATGAGATGGCACCACTAGAGTTTTTCTTCGCCCACAAACCTGGAGATCCATGCGTTCCGTCCAATTTACTCCAGCCAGGGAGCCCTTTCCTGTGTCTTTTTTAAAACATGTACTGTAAGTCATGCATTGTCTCGCCGACCAACAAGCTAATGATGGACAGGAAACTGTTGACAGCGCACCAGAGTGAGTCCGAACCAGCATTCCGTCAGTGCTCCGCACAGGATCATGGCTTATACACCTTTCTGGCCCTGTCACTTCAAACCATGCGATATTTTCTACGAAAAATACCGCAAACCAAGTTCGCGGGACAACAGGATACATCAGCTCCAGACGTTCGTTATCCACGATGAGGTGAGTGGAATATCGCGCCTCGTGCTGCGCCGCTGTTGATTTTCTGCCAGTCTGTGCCCCAGACACAAACACCACTGACATCTTCATGCCGTTACAGGAGCAGCCCATCGCCAACCGCGCAAGGTCTCGTGGCGAGTTACCTATTCCCGCCGACACAGATAAGACCAAGGGGCCGACGCGCCATCGCGTCTTTACCCTCCTCACCGCCTTCACACACTGAACGATGGAGTGCCTCAATCTCTCGTTCTCTGCACAAAGCGGTCTCCCTGTACAACTGTACAATTTCTTGTCACGCGTGGGTTCGCCATGCGCCTTTGCCGTGTTGTGACCTTTGTCGGTTCATCCAGCGCGACTTCTCGAAGCGACAGCCGGAGAGTGCGACGAACCTGGATACAACATGGCATATTGGTGACTGCATTGCAGAAGAGAATTGGCAGTGATCTAGTTGATAAGCTGGTATGGTCACTATCCTTGTTTATCATCTGCTTCAAGTGTACACTCGGGGAATTCTTCATGAACAACGTAAAGCACGACATCTCGTGGAACTGGATCAACACATGCTGACTCGGATCTCACAACAGGAGACACCCTCAGATTGCGAAGCGAGCAAATGTCTTATCTGCTCGACCTCCCCTGCACCAACACCATCGCATACTCTGTTTCTTCCACATGACTACTGGTGGCATCGATGATCGCTACCTCGACTTACTTCCAGTGGGTTTAGTTCATCGATCATGCGTTGGTATGCCTACCTGATGCAAGACCCAATGGAGCGTATATCAGTGTCTGTCTCTCGGCATTCGAACACCCTCATAGGATAGCCTGCTTGCGGCTTAGATCCCCGTCGTCCAGTGGGTGACTATCGTTGTCCTTGGATGGCGTCCGCGTCTCTCGAGCCTGAAAGTCTGACGACACCGGGAGGAGCTGATGTTTCGTGTTGCTTGAGCCGTACTTTCGCAGACGGCCAGGTTGTTAATTTAAGTTTGCGTGCAAGGAGAAGGTGAGGCGAAAATCCCGTCATTTCTAACCGAATAAACTAACAATAACCATCTCAGCTTCAAATCAAGTGGACAAGACCGAGGACAGCCGAACCAAAGATAGGGCCCATGACCCAAGAAGCACTGTCTGATACGGTCCCACCTGGTCCCTCTCCCCTCTCCGCGTCGCTCAGCTTGTCGACTTATACGAACCATTCGGACATACACGGACCTGCATGCTATTACGAGTGTTTGTATGCTCCCCGTTAGACAGAACATTGATCAGTTTAGCTTCTAAGCCTTCTTTTTTCTCTCCAAGCCCAAGCACTAACCACTCAAGTATGTTGAGATTCATACAGCATCTGACAATGGATGACTGATGTTTCAGGCATCCATCCTGGTACCTCAGGAATGAATCAGATCAACATTCAATCTGCTCAATGAGTTATAGCTTGAACAAAGCTTTCACTCATTAATTAGCGGATCCCTCATAACATGAGGGATCAGACCTAAACAATCTCTCTAAAAAAGGACCATCTCTTTATATATTCTTCTCCCCTACTACCTACATCGTAAATCTTAACAAAGTATATTTCTCTTCAATCGGAAGACTGCACCGTGAGATATTGTTTGAGCAGAACGCGGCGATTGGAAGCGACGTGAGGTGTGAGCGCGATCCACCGATCATGAGCGGGGCTTAGATGAGGCCACCCCTACCCATGGGCACTACTTTCTACCTGAGCAAAGAACGTATCATCGATCCTACATTAACTTGGTATCTAGTGCAAGTGTTATTTCCTTTTTTTATTGTTTTATAAAATCCCCCGGATCTTTCCCTTAATCCTTTGAATGACCAAAGTACACTTTAATGTCTAAAAGCAGCAACCAAAAACGCTTCCAACTGAGAAAACAATGTCGAGAAGCCTTAGCGGCTCATATATGTATTTACCAACCCCTTCTGCTGCCCACACAAGCTAATACACCTAGATAACCGACTTCACCTCGTCGTCGCTCCCGAACGAGTCCGTCTCCAACCGCGACCTGAAGATGGATACGCTTGGTCGGTGACGAGAACGAATGCTGCTTTGCTCAAATCAAACCTAAGTAGCGGCACGATAAACCTTTACCGGAAAATATTGAAGGAACTCGGTCCATCACTCGAAGCTGTCAGCCCGCAGTCCTTAGAAACCTCGCAGCCCAATACTGGCGGCTTTCCAAAGGAGGTGAGTCCCTTGCCGGATGTCCTCATTAATATGGCCTTGCTGACGGAACATAAAGACACAACGTTTCAGCGAAGGAATGGTGGAAGGTTCTTTCACCGCAGAGATCTGCGAGCTTAAGGCTACCAACAGCCGCATAGAAAATGAATTGAAACGCACTCGTTCCCAACTGGATGACTGTCTTCGCGAAAGTCATACGCTCCGGGATGAGGCCAGTCAACTGCGCTACGATATGCAGATACTGGAGTCGCAAAATGAAATAATGCGTGATAAGCTAGCAGAGACGAGAAGGGGCATCAATGGAGTAATGCAGACAGTGGGTTCGTGGCGGTCAGACGGAATGGATCTCGCAATTGATGACACGAACGACAGTCAGTCATCAGCGATTAGCACCCATGCGGTATCAAGCCAGATTCAAAGTTGACAGACTATTACAAATCTGAAGTAGCCAGAATACGCTGAGGGCCCACCGAGTATTCTGTCCTCGTGTTGCGGGTTGCAATGGCTGTATAGCCCAATGATACGCGCCAATGGTTTATACCCAGCTTTCCAGATTCAAGCCGGTGCACATATTATAGCGATGCATACGTATATATAGGTTCCGAGCGAGAAATACCAGCAAATTGGATGATAAGAGTCCCGAGCAGGGTGGTTAAGAAAGGAAAGATATCGAAAGAACACTAAGAGTTCCTGCAAATAAACCTTTTAGAGGGAGGATCTGCTGCGTCGCAACTTGAAAGCGGTAGGTCTAAACTCTTCAACCAACAGCTGAAATTGACTGTGACTTCCGCACTTGACGGGCTGGATCCCTTTCATGGACGCACGTACTTCAAATGAAGCATAACAGTAAAGTGGGACGCGAGGCACGCAAACTGAGCAATTATGGTTATAATAGCATTTCAAAATACACATACGTATTAGGACTCGGCCTATACCGGATAAAGAACTTCTATTTCGTCCTAATTCCGAGTCCTATTGCAAAAAGCACGGACCTGAGATGTATCAATTGTAGCAATTCCTCTGGGCTTCAATGACAGACTTCGCAGCGACGTTCCGAGTCGCTCATTACACCATGGAAAGCGGTCTAGTGATCACACTATTTGGACGACACATCGCTTAAGCGTTGTCGGGGTTCGATCGTACTCATGGTTACTGCTGAGCCTGTTGTTTGAACTGAGTTATTCACTAAAGAACATCGTAATTCATGCGTGATATTACTTGTAATAATATGAGGCTGGCCTGTTCATGCTGTGAAAAGATACTGTGCATCCCCATGCATCTTTGTGCGGGCTAATTGCTCGCATCCCCGATAGTAAAATCGAAGGGCAGATGATCAGTGCGTTCGCGCTAACGCTCCACGGAGTCCGGCATATAAAGTAGTCCTCAATCTTTTGAGTTCGTGATTCTCGTCCCGACGCACTTGCTTGGCAGGAGCCCTGCTCTCTTTCCGATCTTATGCTTAGGCCTCTCCCTATTTCTATATAATGCTCGATTCTCGACAGGTCACTGCTGATACTGTTCTCATCCCTTCTGTGCCTGGTTGATTCACTGTTGATTGAGGGAAACACAAGTTCGACCATGGCAAAGAATCCCAAGCCTCCTCAGGGTGACGCACACCTTAGTTCTGACGGATTGCAGCGGCGTGCTGCGCCATCATTTTATTCCCTTCGTTCTACTGGTTCTGAGACCAAGGATAGACGAAAGTTACGCAAACCAGAGACGAAATCACACAAAACTTCGGTATGCCACTGTTCAGTTTGTCTGCTCGTACTTTGCTATGGCAGAACAGCCCCAGTGTCACCCCTTTATTTGAGCATACTCTTTACTGACCATGCTAGACATCCTCCATTACGAAGAAGCCCAAAAGGGAAAACGACAAAGCGACGCATAGAAAGTGTCTCAGGGTGATGAGCAATATTGAGGAGGAATTTCAAGAGGTGCTTGAGGAGAGAGATGGAGAGAACCACGATCTTTCTCAGTTGCTGGACCAGCTCAAGGCTGAGAAAGCGCAAAAGAGGTCGGAATTGCAAATCGCAGTTACGGCGAGGGATACCGCATTAGCCGAGCAGCAGAAGCTCCAGCGTGAGATTTGCCAATTGCAACAGCAGCTGGAATCCACGAACACCGCTTTGCAAGATCAGGTCCCGTGGAATGATATACAGCTGGTGTTGGATCAGGCACACGCAGAGCTGGTTTCCGCGACCACTCGATTCTGGAGCACGATCGACGCCTTTCAGAACAGACGATTGGCATCCTATTTGCCAGGCTCCGGAATGATCCAGGCAGAATGGCCTGATCAGGGCGGCGCGGGTACGCTTGGCCACGATATGCTCCCCAGCATCTCCCAATCGAACAATGAC